TTTATTAATATATATATATATATATATATATATATATATATATATATATATATATATATATTAGTTTCTGCTATTTATTTAATACATTTTATTGTACGTCTGTTCTATAAGAATTTAATAATTTATTCAAAATATTATTTTTAGTATTTGCAAAATAACTTATGTTTCTGTATCCATGTAACTAATTATCTCTGTAATTGATTCAACTTAGTGGAGTAAATGATCTCTAACAAGTAAGCATTGTAAAATATTTATAGTGTGTGTAATATTTCCGTTATTTTGTATTGTAGAAAAAAGCAAGAGAGGAAGCCGAGAGGAAAGCGAAAGAAAAGGAAGAGAGTTTAACACCAGAGGAAAAGAGAGCAGAACAATTGAAACGCCAGAGGCTGCAAGAGGAAGCTGATCTACGGCTTGCCATGGAGACATTTGGTTTGTCCAACCTTGTTGATTTTTCTCATCGCAAGCCGCACAGAACCGACAGGAAATGACTGCGTTAGAAACGTTTATGTATTAACTCTTTGCGCTCCTACTTTTATTTAAGCAAAATATTGATATCAATTTTCAATGAATTCTAAACATCTATAGTTACAATCATGAAAGTGACAAAATGAAAAGAGTACTACTATTTCTATATAGACATTTATTATTTATCTTCTTGGAGCATTGAATAATATGTATTAATTTTGTTGCTCTGTCAGAAATTTGATCTATTTGACTGACTCTACAGGATTACTAATAATATTATAAGTTTGCATAAATTGACAAATTGCTGAATTTATAACAAAGGAAAGTGATATAATAAAATTTGTAAAATACAACTAGAATATAAACTTAAGTATAGATTTATCGTTATTTATTTGATTCAAAGTTTGTTAAATTTTAATTTATATTTAAATATTGCATATTATATTTTTTAAATTTGAAATACTTCTCAAAAGAATTGCAATCATGAAATCTTTTTTCGAATCTCGTACTATCTTTTAATATTAAATTTTAGTAAGCTGTAAA